CTATTTACATTCAGTGAGTCTAACATAGTAGGAATGGTATGCAGAAACATGTGATCTGTCTTCTAGTGTACATTTAGCTTGGTGTCTGAGTGTCAGTTTTTTGTTCAATCGGGAATATTGTAAATAGCATGCAGAGAGCAGTTATAACATCAATGGAATTTTATAGGAAAATATCGGCATTATACAAAGTATATCATCACTGTTGTTTTCTCTTGTGGCCAACAAGATATTCCAGCTATTGTATATTGCAAAATACAGTTTTTGATTATATCATCTAATCTCTTGTAAGTTCTAGAACTGACATAGAAGAGAATAGAATTCTTTATTGACCAAGTGTGATTGGACACACAAGGAATTGGTCCCCAGTGCATAAGCTCTCAGTGTACATACAAGCAACAAGTGATAACTGTGTTGTCTAGTATTGTAAGAGGTGTAGAATAGGAGGACGTAACCTAAAATCTACTATCATCTCTACAGTTTTGAGTGTGTTCAGTTCAAGATTGTTCCAGCTACACCACAGGGCCAATTGTTCAATCTATCTGTTAGAAAGCTTAATATCCATATACAACAGATTCTAGTATTATTTATAATATGAGAGCCAGTTTGATGTACTGGTTAAGGCATCAGGCTAGAACCCAGGAGACATGAGTTCTGTATTTTAGTTAATAATTTACATTTAGGAAATAAACTGCTTGAAAATCTGTCATCAATTATATTAAAAGTTATGTTGTAATACTCAGATTGTTTGACTGTGATTATATAATCGTTAAAAAAACACAGAGGCTGCTTCACTGATTTTATGCATTTGAACTTTTGTTATATATAAATAAAGCATACTGTTTAGTAATATTAATATACTAGCAAGTTATATCAATACATTAAGAATATATTTGAATAATAGCCCTATTTTTTTGAAAAATAAAATTTACAAAGAAATAGTGCTTTTAAAAAAATAATTCCTATAAATATATATATATATATACGTAGGTCTTTGGTTGTTCGGGTTTTCTCCCACATAAAATTGGAAGTGTCTTGGCGACGTTTCGACGAAGTCCCATTCGTCATCTTCAGGCTGGTGTTTTCAGCATCGTGCTTCGAGGAGCATGAAGCTGAAAACACCAGCCTGAAGATGACGAATGAGACTTCGTCGAAACGTCGCCAAGACACTTCCAATTTTACGCGGGAGAAAACCCGAACAACCAAAGACCTACATACAAACACCCGCGAAAACCTCAGAATATAAGGTGGAAGAAGCGACCCCTCCGCTCCGCAATGCCAGCTGAGTTAAGAACATATGGAGTGCGGGATGACGCCAGGTATGGCAGGACGTTCCGGAGAGTAAGGAGAGGAGTGAACCCGGATGGAGAACTGCGTGAGAGGGTGGAGCTTGTGAGACCAGCTTGCCGCGCCTCGCACCGGCAGCACCCATAGACTCCAAAGACTCCTGTCGCACGCGCGCAGGAGCGAGAAGTGTCGGAGCGAAGAGGAGAGCAGAAGAGGAGCGTTACCACGCTCAGGAAGATCGCAACTTCACCCCCCCAGACCAAGGCCCCAGATTACAGCACACGTGAAAAGAGTGCAGAGGACAAAAAGGGGGGGAGGAGTATGATGGCTAAAGATAACCACAATTACGAGACTACCCCCATAGATAAACATCCTATCGAACCACCCCAGCCAATCTGGAATATTACGTATGACCACCTTGACAACAGTTGGGTACAAGGGGGAGGCACCAAGGATGAAAGGAAAGACATTCACAGAGAGAATGACTGTGTGGAGGGTGATTGGGAAAAAGAAAAGGAGAAATGCAAACCACCACTCAAACCCGAGGGGGAGAATGGATTAAAAAGATAGAGACAATCAGAGAGGTAGGGAGCTTACCCCACCTACCTTGGAATCCAAAGAAAAGAAGATAGATGAAGATATACACGTAGCTAAGAAGGACAGGAAGAAACGAATCACCGGAGCACAATTTAACCAATTGGGTCCAGTGACGAGATTGAGGAGCCGGGTGCAGACTTCGGCTTGCTTATAAAAGACTCTCTCACTCCCTGGCGTCCCAGCCCTGATGATGCCGGCAGGTGACGGCGAAAGCTTGGCGTTTTTAAATTAAACTTTTATAGTTTTAATTAATACCTTGGTGTTCATTAAATTTTCGATATGAATATTCCCAGGATTCATATTTTTAGTGTTATTAACCATATATATATATATATATATATATATATATATATATATATATATATATATATATATATATATTTACCTTGAATGAGCACCCTGTCAGCCCAAATATGGGAGAAAGAAATCTTCTTTCTTTTCTTTTCTTTTGCCTGTATCAGCTCAATCTAGAGCCATCCACAAGCAGCAGTCGCCAACTGCAACATCATTTTACATTTTTAGGTTGCTAACAAAGAATAAAGAGAGAATGGTATAGCTGTTTCGAGTTCCTTTAACTCTCTTCAGCCAAACTTAATCTTCTGAGATTCGAACCTGGGCTATCTGCATGTTAGGCAGTTGTTATAACCTCTAAAAAATCTCCTCCCCCTGTCTCTCTCCTGATACAGCCGGCAAAGTGAGGAGAGCCTGTGGCTTAGAGGTTATAACAACTGCCTAACATGCAGATAGCCCAGGTTCGAATCTCAGAAGAGTAAGTTTGGCTAAAGAGAGTTAAAGGAACTCGAAATAGCTATACCATTCTCTCTTTATTCTTTGTTAGCAACCTATATATATATGTGTGTGTGTGTGTGTGTGTGTGTGTGTGTTTTCTGAGGTTTTCGCGGGTGTTTGTATGTAGGTCTTTGGTTATTCGGGTTTTCTCCCACGTAAAATTGGAAGTGTCTTGGCGACGTTTCGACGAAGTCCCATTCGTCATCTTCAGGCTGGTGTTTTCAGCTTCGTGCTTCGAGGAGCAATGTGTGGTCTTAGCTGTTTCTTCCTTTTAACTGCCAAAACTGAACATTTTAATAACAGAATAATCAGAGAAGCCACCGAGATAGAAAAACGCCCACACAGCATGAACAAACGAGATGATACCTCCCGCCTACCAGCCATTTGGAAACCCGCCCTGATTGACAAACGACTCCCTAACACAAAAAATGACACCAGACCCACACTCACAAAAACCACACAGGATGTCACCACCACACATTCACGCAAAAAGCAAACCCAAAGCCACACCGATGATGAGGCACGACCACAAACCAGAAGCCAGACCACAGCTGCATCATTAGCCACTTTAAACCCCTCCAATCCATACATGAAGCAAACTGACACCTCCATGAAGATGAGGCACGACCACGAACGTGAAGCCAAAAAATATCAATGCAGCCCAAAATCTTAAACCCCCTTGCAACTCAGACTAACCGGAGCACAACCAAACAGAACACTCCCCCAGCCAATCAGAGCACAGCCAACCCCCCAGCCAATCAGAGCACAGCCAAGCCCCCAGCCAATCAGAGCACAGCCAAGCCCCTAACCAATCAGAACACACCTCCACCCAATCAGAACACAGCCAAGCTCCCACCCAATCAGTTCATACCCCCACTGGCAGTTAAAAGGAAGAAACAGCTAAGACCAACATTGCTCCTCGAAGCACGAAGCTGAAAGCACCAGCCTGAAGATGACGAATGGGACTTCGTCGAAACGTCGCCAAGACACTTCCAATTTTACGTGGGAGAAAACACGAATAACCAAAGACCTACACATATATATAATATAATATAATATAATATAATATAATATAATATAATATAATATAATATAATATAATATAATATAATTGTTACAGTGTATAGAGTAATTTCCTTTTTGGAGGATAATCTAGAAATGCTATAAAATGCATATATATGATAAGTATCCAGAGCATGATACTAATACATTATTAAGAGTGTCTGGTCACAAATCTGTGTTCTGTTAAATGGATGTTGTTTTCTTGTTCCTCTCTATCTTTCATAGTACTGCACATTATGAGGCATGAGTGTGCTTGTTTACTTATAGAAATAATAATTCTGCTTCATTGGCACATTGTACTTTATTTGAATTTATTTAATGTAAAAAGATAGAAAGGAAATAAAAGTATAAAAGCAATGAGAACATGTATTTCCTCATATAATCTATTATTCATGGTTTATTAATTTAATTAAATTTATAAAATATAAGATAGGTTTTGAGACCCCCTGGGGCTGGACAACAAAGTAAAATGAATTAAGTATATAAACAGCATGAGAACTTTATAGAGAAGTTCCTGTTTCCCCCCCCCCCTCGTGCTTTCAAACTTTTTTTGTGAAGATACATTTGGACTTCTGAAATTGATTGTGTATTCTGTACCAGCTTCTGCCCAGTCTAACACCACTGAAATAACCTCCAGGGCATTATAATTATTCTGTAGATTAGAAATCAACAGTACCACTGTAAAAGGAAATGATCATAGTGCCACAACTCTGATGAACTCACATAAAAGCATTGTATGCCAGTGAAAACCATTTGTGAGACAGCTGTTCAAATACTGAAAAATCATATATTTAACAATACAATTTGGGCTTCAGTTTAGTTGTTAATGAAGACCCTTAACTGCAATGCGTACCTTATATGGGTTTATAATTTTATACAAAAATTAATAATGACAACTATGATTGAATGACACTTTGTTTCCTGTACTAAAAAATAAATTTTTCATTTGTATGATTCACAAAGAATATTCAGTAGAACATATTAAGCCTAAATCCAGCAGATTTATTATTCTTTAGCTATACCTCTCATACTGTAGTATTTTGGCTTGCAAGCTTCTTTTCGATCTGCCATTCGTCTTCATAAATGAAATGACTGGTTGTAAATACTTTGTAAGATGACAATTACATGTCATAAATCACTTTCTTCGCTTTCAAGTATTTAGTAAGGATGTCAGGAATAATATATTACCTCTTAGTCATAATTTGGTGAAAAATACCTACAGTTGACATTGATCAAACTTGGTTAAAATTATTGCTATTACTTTACAGTGCTGCCAAACTTCTGGACAAGAATATATTTACTGTCAACACCGCAAATCCACTGCTTCCTTCTTCTGCAAGTCTTCAGCTGGCTCAGCTTCAAGCACAGCTTACACTACATAGATTAAAATTGGCTCAGACAGCAGTCAACAACAACACAGCAGCTGCAACTGTCCTGAACCAGGTTCTTTCTAAAGTGGCCATGTCTCAGCCACTTTTCAACCAATTAAGACACCCTTCCATGTTTAATACCCTTCCAGGGCATGCTGGTGGTCCTGGGGCCACCAATACTAGATTTCCATCTGGTGGAATACATTTTCCAACACAGAACCCACCTTTGGCAGCCCAAGGTGGAACCCTGGCATCAGTAAGTAACCTTTCAAATCAAAATGTTAGTACTGTAGTACTAAACCCTTTTGGGGGTGTAATTTCTCAAACTGCTGGACAACAAGCTGTATCTATGGGTCTAAATAAAACTAGTGCCTCCTCTACTACAGGTGGATTTTATGATTACAATAAACAGATATTCCCCTCTGATGCTGGTCAATGCGGTCAACAGAGCCTTATAACCAGTGGTTCTCATCCAGTCCCAGTGTCATCTGGAAATGGAATGTCTGAAGGCCAACTGGGATTTCAGAAAGAGTTTTATGGAACTGTGTCTAAAGGCCAGCATACAACCTGTACACAGTCTTTGACATTTGCTGCTGACTCTCAAAATTCTCATCAGAATCAAAAAGGAAAGATGGGTTCTATAGTACATGAAAGAGAAACAAATAATCAATGGGAAAATCCTTCTACTTTCTCTAGCCAAAATAAAATTGACATGCCCAGTGCAAATATGTGGCCATCAACAAATGTCCCCTATGAAGTAAGGAGCGATCTCTATAACCCCGAGGAACCAACACCAGACACAAAATTTAGTGCTGGTACTCCACGTTTTTTCAGCAAAACTAAAAATGGTAAACAGAATTATAGTAATTCACAAACAAGACAGAAGCAGGAACCTGTTACCTCTGGATTGCCAGTGAGGCCTCTTCAGTCCAATGAATTAAACGACTTTCATAGTATTGTACCTCTTTGCTTCCCTCACATTTGTACCTTATGCAGTAAGAAGGTATTTGATCTTAAGGTAAGCTTGCTTCAGATCTGGGCCTTCTTAGTAAATTGTCTCTTTCCAGGTAGTAACTGCTTCACTGCTTAAGAACTACCATATCTGGGTTGCTTTATCAATAGAATCATTGCATCATAGTTTCCTGACACAATATATGTATCTTTAATTTTAAAAATAATGAAATAAATTTCTATCCAAAATCACAAAGTTTGCTGCTCCTTATCTTGCCTTGGTATATTGTAATTATTATTGTAGTTACTAGTTTCTGATACTATTCTACATACATATGCATTTGATGTCTCACTAACATTTCTAAATGAAAAGATGAAAGGTCATTAGAATTCCCTAGATAATTTTAATTTGGGTAGAATAACCACCACCAGATAAAATTTGTTCTACACCATTGATGTAGATGTGCATATGTGTAATGTACAGTTTTGTTCACGTGTGTCCAGTGACATTTCTCTAGATGGGATTAACATAAATTGAAATTGTTTTCTTATTAATAGCGGCATCACCCAATTGTACAGAGTAATGGGATTGAATAACTTCTGGACCTATTTGACTGAATGATTTAAAGTCTTCATTTGGGCTACCTATTTTTCAAAATATAACATCTTTTCTTTTATCATAATTTGATGAATGCTAGAGAAATTTTTCATAAACAATAACTACTATGGATATAGCACACAAGATGTATCTCTTCTGGTATTTCATTCTATCTTTCTTGTTTTTTAATTGAGGACTGGGATCAACACATTAAAGGAAATCTTCATGTTCAGAATTGCTTGACTTTCTCAGAGAAGTGAGTAATTGAAATATATTGATGCCTCTAATTATTTCATAATCATCTTTAGTTTCTTATATTTGTATGTGTGTGTGAATATATATCTATATACATATATACTCATACTCAGAAAACAATATAACAAATATATTTTTTTTTCAAAAGAAAAAGAAACAAATGTATCATTGTGACTGGCAATCCGTGACAAATGTAATATTAAAATGTAGCTTTGAGTAATGAGATTTCTACTTGTCTAAACTGTCCTCCATATCAATGGATGATCTCCCCTAATCATTTTGTGTAGATGTTAAAGAGGAGAGGTGAAAGGCTTGAACCCGGAAGCACCCCACATTGCAAAGACCTAGGGCACCCCACCCACCCTGTCTGGAATAACTGCAGAAGAAGGAATACCACCTGTGGGTTTTCTCGCGCCCAGCGGTCTCCCATGGGTGTTGAAGAACAGACACGTACACGTGGTTTCCTCGGGATGGGAGCCTCGAACAAAGCCGAAGCATCCCTTTTATTGTGTTATCAGAAGGCGGGTTTATAAGCACCTGGTGACCACCTTACACCAACCACATTTGTTATGACACAGCATATTAGCATATTACACGTGCTAACTTTGTTTTGCACACGCTACTATACAGCTGTTGCACATGGCACTAACAAACACCAAAACAACATTCCCTTGCACCGCATGGCACAAACTTGTTTTTTCACTTTTGACTTCCGCATACCTTGGCCTACTGCAGCTGATGACTCAGCCTAACAGGCCAGATAATCCAGATAATTCCAACATCTCCTACTTTTCTGTTTTATTTAAAATAAGGAGGTTGCGCTTTATAGGAAGTCATCCTCAGTGTCGCTTGGCAAAGTGAAGGCTGGTTTGGTTAGCAGGGGTTGCTGAACTGCAGTGATAGGTGTAGTTACTAAATTGACCTGTTGGTGGGTGAGTTCCTGAAGATTACAGTTTATTGCAGAAAGATGGTTCTTCAGGAAATTGCATTATCATATCCTGCTTCCCAGGTGATGGGGCTGACTCCTAGAGTTTGGGTGGGGTATGCAGATCTTCTCTTTTGTCTTCTTGATTGCTCTGGCTTCAACTTTCTGATGGTGTTACATTTGCATTTGTATGGGCCTAGCTCTTGCCTGGGGCAGAGAGATAGATTTGGGGCCAGGTTTGGTTTTAAAAAGCCCTTTTGAGGAAAAATATATTTTTCTGCCCTTTTTAATATTTCCTTCTGGGGGGGCTAACTTCCATCAATGGAGGCAGCAGAAAAAGATCCCTTTAGTGGCTCCCAAAAGGGGAGCTTGCACCCATAAAGTTCTAAAAGTCAGGGCAAAATTTTGTTAGGTGGAAAAGAAATTTATAGTATCCAATATTCTGTGCCAATCATTTTCAAATGTTGGATGTCACCTTTAGCTTCCAGTCAGGTTTGCATACCTCCCAAAATTCTTCACAGCCATGGTTTTCCTTAGTACATGACCACTGGCTGCCCAATTTCAAGGGTTGTTTCCTGCCTTAGCTCTTAATTCAGTGCATCCAGGTTTGTAATGTCCAATATGCCAGTCTATTAAATTTTCTTTAAATTGCACATAATGAGTTCTAGGAATCCCAATCTGAGCTCAATAGTGCAAAATATTCAGGGCATAAGTTTGGGATTTTTCCTGTTGCTTCCTTAGTCAGGGCATATGAATTGCAAATCACCTGAGGGGGCCTAGTTCCCTCCCCCTTGGAATCTGTTGGAAGTTGGTCCCACAAAGCTTTGGTGCAATAGAGCAAAAATCAGCCTGGGGAACTTTACTAAAGGTAAGTGGAGGGGATAGACTCTGAATGGTGTGAATGGTGTATGTGTGCATATGCAGCTATTTCTACAAAACAGGCAATACAAACATTCTGGAAAAGTTTTCCCTCCCACCAGATAGAAGTCCAAGGTGTTCAGTACTTGTTCTGCCACATATTCCCAAGTGTCATCTCTCCATTAATACATTCAACTGGCTTGTTACAATACAAATGGGGCAAGAAAGAAAAGTTTACAATGAGTTTCCACCCTCCCCCCACAGTCTTAATTTTCTCTTCTGAGGCTTCACGTGGCACCACCTTCCTTCTGCAGCTCTCACAGGCATCTGGGGAAATGGTAGGACTTGGGAAGATGCATGGTGGCTTTTTAGTGGATGGCTGGATTCAAACTCAATCCCATGGCTCAAATGGATGGAGGCAGCATCTGGGTCTGTGTGTTCTGCTTCCAAAGGCTTGGGAGAGGGTTTCAGGGCTGAAAGATACAAGAACAAGGTCTCCCCCCCCCTTTCTGGACGGACTCTACCAGGAGAGGCAGACAAAAGGTATGGAGAACAAAGGACAGAAATAGAATTGGAAGGGGGGTAGCTTGCAGGCAGTTTGAAAATGCTGAAAACTCCAAATAATTTTAAAAGCCTAATATTTTAAGGTGTGCAACTTGCCAAGGGTAGGAGAACATTTATTCTAAAATAGACCACATCGTTTTAGAGATTGGAAAATGCTTATTTGTTTCAGAAAAGTTTCATAGTAGCATCACCAATAAGTGATAGGATACGAAAAGTAACTTTAAAAAGTTATTTCCCCACACAAGCAGACTTGAGTTTCAAAAGGCTCTTGTAGATAGACACACAGAGAGAAGGAGGAATACAAACAAACAAACACAATTCTTTTTCTTCACTCTGTTGGCCAGACAAACAGAGTGAGGTTTTTCCTTTTTGTGGCTTATTTTAAGCAGAATTTCTAGCAGACTTTAAAATTCTTTTTCCTTTGGATTTGAAACAGTTAACAGTCACAGTTTTACACATCCTGGTCATTCATGAAAATACTTTCCTAATTTAACCCACACAGACATTTTTAGGGATCCTCCTTCGGGCTATGCAAGGCAATTTAGATATACATATTTTAAGAGAAGGATCAAATCCCTTTTAGTGGGAAGCAGCAAATCTTTCCCATTGTTTTTCAAAACAATTATTGATGATTTGGTCAATTCCCTAAGTTCTGGGAGGTCGCAACCTGAGGCTTAGAGAATCCTGTCCCCATACTCACGGTAATGTTTTGGGAGGGTGCTTCGTCTAGCTCTGACGACCGGCCCTGAGTTGCAGTAACTCTTCCGCTGAGTGAGTAAGAGGGTACCAAGAGACGTAATATTTTGGGAGGGTGCTTCGTCTATCCTGACGACCGGCCCTGAGTTGCAGTGCCCAGAGACCTGCTCAGAAATTTGAATCACGTCGGGGTCACCATTTGTGGGTTTTCTCGCGCCCAGCGGTCTCCCATGGGTGTTGAAGAACAGACACGTACACGTGGTTTCCTCGGGATGGGAGCCTCGAACAAAGCCGAAGCATCCCTTTTATTGTGTTATCAGAAGGCGGGTTTATAAGCACCTGGTGACCACCTTACACCAACCACATTTGTTATGACACAGCATATTAGCATATTACACGTGCTAACTTTGTTTTGCACACGCTACTATACAGCTGTTGCACACGGCACTAACAAACACCAAAACAACATTCCCTTGCACCGCATGGCACAAACTTGTTTTTTCACTTTTGACTCCCGCATACCTTGGCCTACTGCAGCTGATGACTCAGCCTAACAGGCCAGATAATCCAGATAATTCCAACAACCACCATAACACATTGCTTTCCACTCCCAAACCTGAAGTTGGTCAAAAAAGAGTACCATGGTCAGTGATATCAAAAGCCATGGAAAGATTCAGTAGGGCCAGAATGGTTGTGCCACCTCCATTCCAAGCCTTTGAAAAATTATTAACAAATGCAACCAGTGCCAGTTCAGTATCGTGCCCTGGTTTTAACCCAGATTGAAAAGATTTTAGATGATCTGCCTCATTTAGGATCCACTGTAGTTGTGTACCAACCCCCTCAGTAACCTTCCATAAAAAGGAAAGGTTGAAGACCGAGTCATAGTTGTTTAATACTGTTGAGTCCAAACATGGACTCTTGAGAAGAGGGCACAATACCTGCCTCCTTCAAAAAGTTGCTTTCAGTGGTGAAATGGGTGGAAAATTTAATAAATAAAGCAGGTGGTACCATCCCTTCCTGAAAAGAGACATTGATCACCGCTTGGACCCAACAACATGCCACCTTAATTGACCTTTATCAACTAAAGGGGTATGGGCCATGTCCACTTCCTCAAGAACAACTAGCCTGAACTCCTCCCAGATAACAAGACTCAGATATAACTCTGTAACATCCAAAATATTTACCTAGCCAGAGCCTGGCTCCAGGTGAAGTTGAGCAACTTTATCTGACAGATATTTAGAATAATCCTCACAGCAACCCTCCATGGGTTCACTGTATTCCTTACCTAGGAGGGATCTGAATGCAATAAGAGCAGAGAAGTAGTTACACTAAACAACTTTTATTGCCACAAGGTAAGTCTTAATATAGGGTATTTACCTGTGCTCAGTCAGTATTATTCTTTGTTTTCCTCCAGCAGTGCTTGAGGTGTCTCATGTCACTTCATTTCTTAGAACTCCTCTGTAAGCCATGGTGCTCTATGAGACCCATGTAGACAGAGACAGTCTGGTCCATGGAGCCCATCATCTGCTCATTCCAAGCTATGACCAGGCTTCTGCCTTTAAGCAAAATTCCAGGAAGAATCTCACATTCTCTTTGAAAAGGCACTGGGTCCATCAGGTGCCTTGGTGGGCCACTTGAATAGGTTCCATCTGCCTGAGATAGGAGGTAGCTGTGGAGAATTCTAGGGCCAAGAGAGCATGGTCCCTCCATGGCAGGGACTGATATTAATGTTCTGCAAAGCCAGATCATAACATCACTGTCATGGCAAACACAAGATCTAATATGCAACCTCCCCCCATGTGAGTAAGACCATGGATAAGTTGGACCAGGTCCATGGTGACCATGAATTCCTGCACTACCTTACACCTCTGGCCTAGAGAAGCAGATTGAAATCCCCCCATACTATAAGTCTAAGGAACCTCGCTGGCAGCTCAGACACAGAGTCCAAGAGTGTAGACAGGCCTGCTGCTGCCCTGCAGGGTGGAAGATAAGTGAGCAGCAGTCCCTATTGCTCCCTATGGTCTAACCTCATAAAAGTGATGTTTGTGGCAGGACAGATTGCAGGTGTTCTACTACAGATATTTTGGTGAACAGTCTCAGCTACACTGTTAACAAAAACAGAAGGAATGTTCACTGAATTCAGATACAATTCTCACTTGAAAATTCTCTATTGGTTGAATTTTTTTAAAGGCTTCAAAAATACCCAGGAGTACTAACTTAATGTTAAGCTTGATGCTTAGAATTTCATAATTTCTGTTACTGAGGTGGTATTATTATTAGATTTATTCAATATAAAAAAATCTGGTAACTAAACACATTAAGATCTGACCCATGTATTCTTATTCTATAGCTGAATTTCTACTTTTGTTTCTTTTTTTAGCACTGATATTCATTGTATGTTGCATTCAGCAGCAGAAGGAGTATTGCATTCTTCCTCCCCAAATAATAAAACTGTGTTTAATCTGTCTAGTACTGAAGGTAATTATCCAAGTAATATATATAAACATATATGTATATATATTTAATTGGAATATAGTTGACACAAGGACACATTTCATTGAATATTTAAGGAGTGTAATCATAATAGCTAAATTAATCTCTGTTTGAAGTTTTTATTTTTTTCCCCAAGAATGGAAATATACAATGTGTTTTTCAGAATATTTATGAATATACAGTAAGTATATTGGTAAAATGAAAAGGATGTAATATAATATAACTGTTGTGATCAAATTATCTTTCCTGATTATTTTGATATGTTTTGAAGCAATGACTTAGCTTAGCCTTTCTGCAAATTCCTCAACGACTCACATCATTCATTCATTCATTCATTCATTCATTCATTCGTTCATTCATTCAATTTCTATAGTTGCCCAACTCAACAAAGTAACTAAGGGAAACTTATAATTCTAAAATTATAAAAACAAAACAATTTAAAAAACAATAAAACAATAAAAACATACACAAAATAAACAGTACAAAGGTACAAACAGGTACAAACAGAAGCTGTGACTAGAAAAGTTACTATCAAGTTATAGTAAAGTCAAGTAATGCATTCCCTTAATGTATTCCAAGCCCCAGGCCTGGGTACCTAGCCAAGTTCTTAAAGCTTTGTGAAAGCTAACAGGGTTGGGGCCATTCTAATCTCCAATATTGCATAAGGCAGGGGTACAGCAGAACACCCCCCCCCTGTCTTCTAGTTCCCACTCATCCCAGTCAGCACTCTGCCTTACAGGATCTGCAGCAAGCCCAATCTGTTGGATCAGATTAGAGGGGTCGAAGCTCTTAGAAAAAGATGATTCTTCGGGTAACCTGATCCCAAGCCATTTAAATCTCATAATCATGTATCTTATGTCACATATTATTTCCATACTATTCTTTAAAACACCTTTTTGTTTTCCTAATGCATTTAAATAAACTTATCATGCACTTTAGCAGAGTACAACTACATTCATCACATCCTGGGTTTATCCCAACAGTTGCTTTAATGGAGGGTGTGTTTAAAATAAGCTCATAGAAAATAAATACCTGTAGATACTAGGTTATATATTACTTTCAGTGGTGCCAGAGCAAACCTTATTTTCTTCAAAGTACCAACACATATACAATTACATCACAATGCAGATAATAATCTTATCTGCTTACCCTCACATATGAGGGAGAGATGAGCTGTAGTTTTTACATGTATCTTCAGGATATATATTTCATAATTTGCCCCTCCCCCTTGTTGATACTATGACTGAGGATTAGAAATAACATGACTCATTTACCAGTTAATGGAAAAGAAGAATGAAAGAAAACCATATTTTAGGGATATAGAGTCACTTCTTATGAGATAGGTGGCATATAAGTTGAATAATAAATGCATTTCCTTAGGTACCTTTAATTTGATCAAACTTGATTCCCTCTATGTTTTATCAATCAAGAACAAATTCTCATTGTGATGTATTACGGTTTTTATATGTCTACTATCTCGAGAATCATAGACCATTGTTGGTTTTAATTAGCAATGGGATTCTTTATAGGAAAAATATAAATAAATGTGAAAGAATTTTGTCAAAATCTATGTTTAAAGAAATGACTTATTTTTTTGCATATATTTTCATGGAATATGTGTCATTTCTTTAGATTATCCTTTAAATGCTGAGTCTTATAATTCTGCATCTTCATTTGGCCAGTCAAGTTCGTCATTCTCTTACGTACCACTTGGTGGAAATGTGAGTATTTTTATTATGTTGGTTGCACAGTCAACCACATGTTTAGACTGGATTTGGAATTTTTATCCACCTATGGAATTCTTTCCAAGAACCTGAGATATGCAGATGTTGTTGTTTGATGGTATTAAAGATATTGTTGCAGGTGTAAGTGTCAACAGCTCGAGAATCCAAATAAGACTCCAGAATAATTCCATTTCTGAAAAACTTACTGTTTATTGAATACACTGCATGGTTATATCAAAGCAAAACTAATTCTGAGGTTCCCACACCAATTCATAGACTTAAACAATAGTTTTCCCAGCCAACCCCCAACGTAATCCATATCAACAAGTCTACTTTGTTATGGGAACCGTCTGCTTCAAATCCACACCTGTTCTGGTGTCTTGACAAGGCTTCAAGCTCCCACAGTCTGCAGCTGAAGTGAAGAAGTTTCATTTCTCCACATGAAAGTAATCCCTCCCCCCCTTTATCTAAAGGCAAGTTGAAATGCAGAGGTATGTAGCTGCCAAAGGGTCATTCTTGACAGTAAGCTGTTTCAAGTAAAGCTGCCTTTTGCAATTGACTGATGGTGGTTTTGTCAATGCCAAAGGCATTCAAGTGGTGCTATAGATGTTTTGGGATTGCAGCCAAGATGCCTGTTACAATGGGTTGCTGTGTCTTTGCTGCAACCATTCTATTTCTATTTACAGACCTTTGTATTTTGTGATTTTCTCCAGTTCTTTCTCTTCTCTTCTGCTGTATTCAGGCTTTCAGTGTCCACTATCTTATTGACTTTCTTATTGATAATTGTTAAGCCTGGAGTGTTATGTGGCAGGTGCTTGTCTGTTCGTCTGTCTGTCTGTTTAAAGTCCCCTCTAGCTTTTCATTTTCTATTCCTTTTTGATTCCATCAATTATTGCTTGCAGGCAAATTGTATTTCCTATAGTTTTTCCAATGCACCATTGTTGCTACTTTGTCATGCCATTGTTTGTCATGCCATTGTCAAGTCAGTCTGTCTGATCTTGCAGCAGCTAATTAAGTGGTCCACTGTTTTTTTGGCTTCTTTGCAGAAATGGCATTTTCTGTCTTTTCAATTCTCGCTTTGAATGCATTTGTTCTTAAGGCTTGGTCTTGTCTTCTGTCTCTTCCTTCTCTTCTCTTAGCCATTACTAGCTCTTGTTGTTATCTGCTTTGCCTGCTAGTTTTTTTTTAAGGTACTGGTCATATAACACTTTGCCTTGCCACCTCTCTTTTCTATTCTTCATTTGGTCTTTCTTCGAGACCAGATTGGTCTTTCCAGTAAGCCTTCAAGTTATACTAACTTCCATGCATTTTCCCTGTCCTTCAGTGAAGATGCGCTGATGGACATTCTTCCAGTGGCCTTTTTTGTTCCTCATTATAGTCCACTACACAGTCAGCCAGATATTTAGAATGGATTTGGCATTTTTATCCACTTACCAAGTTCTTCCTGGAGACCTGGAATTCCACTCGAGTCATTTTCTGTTCCATATTAAAATTGCCCCTGGACACTGGATTTCATGACAGAGATAGCTAGGTCTATTACCAAAGGAACAAGGATAAAAATATGGGTTAAACCAGTGGTGGGATTCAGCCAACTTGTACCACTTCAGCAGAACTGGTAGCTAATTTTTTGTTGCCCAGGCCCAGAATGGATTTCCAGAAGCAGCATCCACACAGAGAACAGGTTGTTCACATATTTGAATCCCACCACTGAGTTAAACCCAAAATAAAAATGGCATGTACAAAAATTCACCTCATGGGGGAAATAAATCACAGTCCATCTTGCAGGAGTCTGTTACTATAGCCAATATTAATAAACACAGCTTTAACTATCACATGGAATATCTTACTTGCCATATTGAGTCAGTCAGTGGGTTCTGTACTGGGCCAAAATTATCAAGACGACAGAGGGAGATTGCAACTCAAATGTCATCTCTTTAAATACCACTAGCTGCACCGTATATCTATTTAACAGAAAAAAAAGTTCTTTATAGGAATCTGTGGTAAAGTGAATACAATTAACAATAAATGAAAGAAAATGATAGTACTTTTATAATATACATATTCTTTGTATAATAGTGGAGTTACCCTGTTAATAAATAGATATCCACTATTTGACAGAGTACAAAGGAAAGCCAACAATCCAAAGTATCTTCCATCTTCCTTTTTTTGAGGAATACAGATTCTTAAAAAAGAGTTTACTAGGAAATATGTTGGTTATCAGGTGCATTGCTTCCTTTTAGAGTAATCAAGCACCAGAAAGTTAACTGGCAGAATCTTAAGTCAGCATTTAAAGTTCTTTAGTTGCAAAGATGTGATCAAGTCATTCTCCTTAGTCTCAAATTTCAGTTGCTACTCAAGGGTAAGGGTAAGGCACTAATGAAGTGTGAAGCTGTGTTGCCTTTTCAGCACAGATATCAAGCATCACTCTTCCAGAATATTTATAATATTCATAGTTATCCATGGGGGCCAGAGAGTGGGAGCAAATGACAAAACAGGAGTCACAACAACGTGATGCAAACCATGTGATTTATCTACTTGCCCCTGATGTTTCATTATTATTTTTTAATCATTGTGATGTGTACTAAGACATTGATGGTACAGTTATCTATTGAGTATTAGAGAAATGGGATGTGTTTTTAGATATAGATGATATATATGCATAGTGATTAGTAGAACTGTGGATTTATAGATTTCTCTAAAGTATTTGTAGTCTATATCTTACATGAAAATGTTATTTATATATAGGCAATCTTTCAATATGTTATGTTACACAATTAAATGACAGTATTAATTTTTAACAGACTCTTGGGCTACAATAAAAGGGAGATTATATGGACAAGTATTTGAGATTTTGAAAATATCAGCTCTGTACAAACTCAGCGAAGGATAAGAAGTGTGACTTCAAATGTGTATGTTTACCTGGCGGTTGTTTTACAATTGTTTCTGCTTCTAAATTTATTTTTAATAATTTCAGGTTCTACAAAGGAAATGTGTCCCAGGTCGTGTAGTACACATCTGTAATCTTCCCGAAGGAAGTTGTACAGAGAATGATGTAATCAACCTTGGACTTCCCTTCGGAAAAGTCACTAATTATATTCTCATGAAATCTACCAATCAGGTATTTTTTTTTTTACTTAAAGAAAAGTAAATACGTGAACATTTTGCTTAACTTTTGCACATTCTATAAAAAATGGTTAGGAACTCTGATGACTTATCTTGGAGTTGACAGGATTTGGAGTTGTAGAGGAAACAAGGTCTCTTTCTGCTTAGGAAAGTATACCATGAACATCCTTTTGTGTGTTATGTTCAGTATACTTGAAGAGATCCAACAAGGTTCCTTTGCTAGGACTGTTGCGACTCTCTGTGTGTAATAGAGAAACAGAGACAAGTAAGGTAGCTAGTAAACACTAACAAAGCCTCAATCTTTTCCCTTCCTCCCTCTTTCTTTTCATTCAACTGTTTTCCTGGTTTGCAGAATATCTGTCAACCTACCTACTTACCTTCTGCAACTGATTATTTATCGTGATATCTTCTTTTCCTCTAGAATTGAAGATATTAGCCTCCTGTAATTTTCTGCAACTAAAATTATACCAGACTATTCCATTCGGAATAGTATACTGTATATACTGTATTATATATATATATATTTATGTATGCATGTATGTATGTATATATGTGTAAATATGTGTGTGTGTTTATGAATATGTTGAAATAATTTAGAAAAATTACATTTTAAAAATATAAACTTAATATACTATTGTAGTTTTTGGATTTGTCTTCTGTGTACATACTAAATAGCTAAACTCTAAACAATTTTTTGAATGATCACAGGCTTTTTTAGAGATGGCCTATACCGAAGCAGCTCAGGCTATGGTAGAATATTATAAAGAGAAACCTGCAATGATAAATGATGATAAGTTACTCATAAGAATGTCTAAAAGATACAAAGAACTTCAACTAAAGGTAATATCATTGTTTGTCATGTCATTCTGTTAATCTGGCTGCTCAGAAATGGTCTTCAACTGCACATTTTGGTTTACAGATAAAATTTAAACATTTATCTTCTTTTTCTGAAACCATCTACTGTAGTGATTGATATGTATATGCATTGTTCATTGATGGGGCCTATTTCCTGTTCAATTTGTTTAAATAAACCAAATGATGCAAACAAAATTTGTAAATCATGACTTCTTTTAATGTTTCTTTTCATTTGGTCTTTGACTTATTATGTGATTGACCAAGCAATTACATATTCCCCATAATTCAGAATACAAAACCCACCAAGTTTCCTTACTAACCTATGAAATATTTTTTTAAAAAAAATAAAAAAAAATTGGAGCCTTTTTTCTTAAAGGACCATTTCTACAGAACAGTTTATTGAATTGGCTTTGTAGAGTGGGGGATTCACTGTGGAATAGATTTCTGATGCCTTCTTCATCTTCCTCTCTTCTTCTGTGATCCTTCCCATAGATTGTCTTATTGCAATCGCTTCTAGAGAAAAGAGCACACAGCACATTGTTGAGATAGATTTTTCATGCTTTCCTTTTCTTCTCTTCCATATCTCTGTACTAAAGATAAGTAATTCCATACCCATCCCTACATGGAGACAAGGCGATGTTGTGTCCTGATACCTTGTCTCTTCCAAAAATAATCACAAGTATATTTTATTATTTTCCCCCTTCAAATATTCCTCGTTGTTTGGTAGATTTGGATAGTCAGTGATACGTTATATGCTCAGAGCTGAGAAGTTCAGATGACGTCTTTGACTAAGAACTTTAAGAAAGGATATCAGTATTTTATTTTAATTCTGGTGACTCTCTCTTTTAATTAGGAACAAAATTAGGAACATAGTCTGGAATTAAATACACTGTCTATATATATATATATGTATGTATGTATGTATATGTATATATACATATGTATGTATGTATATGTATATATATTTTAACAAAAAACTGTAATGAGACCCCAGAGAGCCCCTCCCACTGGCAAGCTGGAGCAATTTTTTAGTAATAGTTCCTGTGATTTTTTGCAAAGTTGCTTACACATGTGTCATCCAGTCATTAGTTTTATTATAGTTCATGCCACAATGTATATTGAGAATTGCAGCAGCATTTCCATTCATAAGAAAAATTAAACTGAAGAGTATTCTATATGCAATATGAAAAAAATTATAAGAAAATGAAATTTATTATAAAGGATTAATTGATGAGTGCCATATTTACCAAGGGGAAGGCAGATAATCTACTAGCAGTAAGAGATTGGTTATTAAGAAAAAGTTGCTTACTTAAAAATGAAAAGAAAACCTAGAGGAGAGAAGAATGGATGAATAGTAAAACAAAAAGAGCAGTCATAATAATTTGAATGAAGCTAATTGATTTTATGGAATGGAGTTGATGAATACTAAACGGAAGTGAAGATGCAGAACGGAAGTGAAGGTGCGTGCCAAGAAGCCTCTTTGTGCCTCATTGCTGGGCCAGGCTGAGGGTGGGTTTCATACTATGAAGGGCTTTGCCCTGCCCCTCATGTGTCATTGCACTTTACATCTCTTACCAATGGACATTCCATACCCAGCCGTAGTTGTAAATTGAGGAATACCTGTACACATCAACAAGGAATTAACTGAAAAGTACAACCAATTTGATTGTTTACGATGAAAACTGGAAAGAATTCATGAAGGATGCAGTGGTGAGGATAGGCCAGTGATGGCAAACCTTTTAGAGACCGAGTGCCCAAAAACCACTCTGTCCCCCGTCCTGCCCCGCTGCTCCACCCCCGGCCTGCCCACCCCATCTTGTAGGACCACCCACCGCCTTCACGGCCTGTCACAGATCGCCCAGTGGCCCTGCAGTGCCATGGCAGCCACACCTTCCACCCGCACCCTGCAGCATCATCTGCAGGGTGCGGCCCATGCCTGGGGGTGACTCTCCTCTGGGGGGGCTGCTGGTGAGGGGGCCACGAGGGGAGGTGGGGCTGGGACGACAGTGCACATGCCCACAGAAAGGGCTCCGAGTGCCGTCTCTGGCACGCGTGTCATAGGTTCGCCACCACTGGGATAGGCCATTAACTACATATGCTAGCCAACGTTATTTTTAAGAATGTTAAAATATACATTTATTTACAGTTGCATTATGTTTATTTTGCTTAGAAACCAGGAAAGAATGTGGCAACAATAATCCAAAATATTCATTCTCAAAGAGAAAGAGATATGTTGAGAGAAGGAGACAGGTATTTTTTCATATTGATATTGTTCTAATTTTTGTGTTGTATGGAAAAATAATGTGATTTCAGTAGAGGAGAAACTATTACTGGTCCTTCCAAATAATTTGGAAACAAGCTACAAATTTTAGAAAAAAAAATTCATGCAAGACAGACTTTCAAATATAAGACTAATAGTTCCTTACAGTTTGAGGTTTTCTCCCATCTGAATAATAATGATATGTTATAAATACTGTTTGCTTTGTTTAAAAAATATCACTTTTATTCTGCATGGATTGCTTATATCTACCTAATAAAAGCAGTCCATGTAGGATAAAGGAAGAAGCAGTTTTCCCCAACTTTTCTTGCAAAAAGTCACTTTGTTACTCCTTGTCTTTCCTGCTTCTGGAAAGTGTGGAACAGCTGAGCTATTCTTGCAGATGCTCCAGTAGTGAAGATCTTGGCCAGCCTTTTTGCAAAGGGGGAAGATATCAGCAGCCAAGACACGGATAGCGATGGCCAGAAATGGAGGGGTGTAGCATAGAGAGGCAGAGATGGGAAAATAGCTTTGCTTCAGGATCAGAGGCCTTGGGATCATCCCATCTTTGCCTTAGGAATCAAGATAGATAAGAGATCTAAATATCCTTTTCCTGAATAAATATCTAATATTCACCACCAGAGCTGTTTAATTATATAAACCCAATTTATATTATTACTGTTAGCACTAGTATTGAGTTTCATCTTGACAGTGCTGTAATAGTTTTAGCATTTATTCAATTCTTAGACATATGGTGAATTTTTCCTGACCTAATAATATATTAACATTTTACGCTGGTTTCTGCTCCTCTAACTACATATACAGTTTATGATACAAACCACATGCCAAATATTATTATTCTAAGGCAAGCTTGATATTCAATATTATTGACAATTTGAAATGTATATACTACTTCTGAAAATAGATAACCATAAAATAGCTGTAGACCTTAAGTAGCACCTGATTTATTTATGCTTATATGCAACATGCCACTCTTTTCCTGTGCTGTAGATATGGACTGGAAAGGCCTCGTTCCCGCAGCCCGATAAACTGCTCACTTTCCCCAAGATCACGGACTCCAAGCTTCACTTCCTGTAGTTCCCCCCGTAGCCCATTAAGCACAAACCGAACAGAGTGGGGAAATGGAAGAGAGCCATGGGATCAGTTTCCTTATTCTCAGAGAGAGGAAGATAAAGAATTATTGCCTTGGAGAGAGAATGTGGAAGAGAAAAGAGATAGGAATGACATGTGGACTCATGAAAGAAAACATTATTTACGGCACCTGGACTTGGAAGAGCATGTTGAAGCAACCCGAGGGCACAAAGAAAAATATTTAAGAGGGGGTTCACCCAGTGGAAAAGGGGCTTATCTTTCGCCTGTGTATAAGATGAGAGAAGAAGATTGTTACAGAAAATCATCTAAGCAAAAGTCTGATAAATATCAAAATCAAACACTGGATGTTGCTTTGAAGGGCAAAAGAAAGGAAGAGACAAGATCGAGAGAACATAAACATTCTCATTGTGAAGCCACAGCTAAGGAGGAAATGTCAGAACAAAAATCCATCATGATGCCTGACACTATCAGGCAAAAGCAAAGCGATAAAGACAAATTAAAAGACAATGCTAAAAAGGCAGAGAACATGACACCTGGTATAGCTGAAAGAAATAATGTAAAGAAAGGAAAAGGTATAGCCGAAAGAAATAATGTAAAGAAAGGAAAAGAAAATGGAAATGAAAATGAGGTAATAAGTACTATAAACTATCATGAATATAAAAATAATTATTTTAATTCATTATTATTAACATTAATTATGAAAGAACTTCAGTTGTTTTATAGACAAAACAACCACAAAAATCTTGCTAACAACATTTATTTTGTTTAATTAGGCTACATTTATTTCTGCAAGCTCAGTAAGTACTCAAGCTAAACAACAACAAAAATAACAAAAATGTTGTGGTATATTATAACTATATACTACTAAACTCTCTGTCTATAACCTTTAACTAGATGAAATGGTACATGATAGGGCAAAATCTTTTGAATCAAGGTAACTCAAATGGGCCGACTTACAAACACATCCAAAATCCAGAATTATGGCTCTTATGGAATTGAAATTGGCAGATTTTATATAAAATGGTTCAGGAATTCAGTTGTTACTGCTTAGCACAACTTGCATACAGAGAAGAGTACTAAATGAGAATTTTTAGGAAGGTACAGGAAGTACAGGCAGACAAGACCATCTATAAGAAATTCTTTACAAGTATTATTTTTTTTTCTCAAATAATCTGTTATTTAAGATTAGGCCAAATTCTCCCTTAAGCCGTTCTCTTATCATTTCACAAAAAAGAACTTGAGGGAAAAATTCTTTCTTTCTTAAAAGATTTCTCAGTTTGTAAATAGACATAAAATGCTCCCTATATAGCTTGAGACCTTTCCCCAGGATGGAAGGTGGTACCTGAGTAAATAGCTTTTTTTTGAACTTACGTATTGAATACCTTCTCCTCCAAATTTGGTCTACTCTTTACATTAATATCATTTAAATACCTGTAAAGTTTATTTAATGCTGTTTACATTTTAAGACGTGTTTTGATGCACTATATACTCATTATTATTACTTTTGTATTCTATTTTATGATATGGTTTGAAAATTTTGTTAAACAAAATGTAAGTATTATTACTACATAAATCCATAATTATTTATTTATTAGCAAATATAAATAAATATTATTTATCATGGCATTTGAGTCAATGTAGATAAATATTAATATTATTTCTTATGGTTATTCATGCAAGTTAATATATGAAGGCCATAGTAGGTGGCATTGAACCAGATTTTTTTTTAAGTCTAGTATAGTTATCCCAAAGATGCTTTTTTACGAGGCAACTGGACTTTCTTGTTTTTCTTTGAAGATGTTTTGCTTCTCGAAATGTCTTCAAAGAAAAACAAAAAAGTCCAGTTGCCTCATGAAAAAGCATCTTTGGGATAACTATGACTTGGATGACTGAGAATCTGCATAGACATTTATCTAGTATAGGAACTAATCTGGGTCCAGATAGTGACATGCGTGTGCCTTCTTGAGGTCCTGAATGAAGCACAGGATATAAATCTAATAAATAAGTAATAAAGTAATAAAGACAGCGATCATGATTTATTCTTAAAAACAATTTGTAATAAGCAGTCTGTATGTTTATTTATTGTAATGTTCTTAATAAAATTTGCCTTTTCGTTGAAGGACTGGGAGAGCGGAAGTGACATGGAAGCGGAAACTTGGTATCCAACCAATATGGAAGAGCTTGTAACTGTTGATGAGGTAGGAGAGGATGATCTTATTATGGAACCCGATATAACTGAACTTGAAGAAATAGTAACTGTAGGTCAGGAAGAGGAAGAATGTTCCCTAAGGAGTACCTTAGTTGCTGGATTGGAAGTAAAGAATGAACACAGTTTATTAAGTACAAAGGAAGACAAATCTGATATATTGGAAGCCACCATAGAATCAGAGAAAGAAAATGCAGATGTAAGTGGCTCTGAAGGTAATAATACAGTGACTAAAGTAACCCATCTAAACTCTGATACTGAAGATAAACCAGATGAATTGCATGAAATTAGATCTGAAGAGCATTCAGATCATCATGATAATGACAGAAAAATAGATGAAAGTTCTAATTTTCAGTTAAAACTGGAGACGCAGTACATATCTTCAGATCCTTCAAAGGAACAATCCTTCCAGCAGAGTGACAAACTTGTAGATGATTATAAAGAGATAGAAACTCTGGAAATCAGGAATAATGAAGATAAGGATATCCTAGCAAAAAAATCTCAAGAAGAAAGAAACAATGGAAGTGAGGAAAAGCCAAAGACTCAAGGTATGTTGTACCTTTTTCCTTATTTTTACATAAGCAATACATTTAAGTTTACTGTATTTCAATACAAATGTGTGTTACTCAAAGATTTTAACTTTCCGGGCAATGAGTTAGATTGATGAACTGATTGTCAACATTAAATCACATCAAATATTATCAAGGATATTATGTAAACGTTTAGCAAATACTCTTGAAGAGTTATCTTGTTATGACCTCTTCTAGGTTCCTACAATTTGAAACATTAGAATGCTATCTTAGATTACTTAGAATTGTCAATGTGAAGAATAATTATTCTTCATTTATGACGTTGATTTTTTTTAGGGATCTCATGAAGCAGGTTGCTGTGAAATGGATTTCTGGATTCTCACATTTCATTTTAAACAGGATATCTGGGGAGATAAGAGCCTCTACCTGTTTGCTTGGTCCTTACTCAATCTAGCTAATTAAGTCAACCAATTTGCAACTGAATCCATGGTTCCTGGAGGTGATTAATGACTTTGTGAGTGAGGGAATTGCTTTCTTGAAGGCAGTTACTTAACTTTTACTGAAAAAACCCTTCATAAATCAGCAAGAATGGTTTAATTATATCCTCTCATCATTTAGCGATCACAATTCATTTCTTAAATTAGAAGTGAAATGGTCACTAAGCAAACAAGTGACTGAAAGAGAGATCCAACAAGGATTACTGGTTGTTGCTATCTCATTTAGATAAAGTTTTCAAGTACAACTACATCAGTGTTACTCTTACTTTGGCGTGCATTGTTGTCAGGTTCATGAAACTGGATTGGAAGTGTGCCCATTGGTTGCAAAATTATTATTTAAAAAAATACTGTCATATTTATAGTCACTAAACAAAGTAGCCATTAAATGAGGCTATATATACACCACTATCAAATATTCCATTATTTGCTAATGTGATAGAGAATTAGAAGTAATTGGATTTAAATGATTATCTGGCTCAATTTCAGTCAGGCTTTCACCAGTTTGTGTTATTGATATTGCTTTGATCATACTATTCAATACCATTGATTATAGAAACCTTCTAAGTAATCTATCTGGACAAGGAATTGTGAGAACAATTTTAATGTAGTTCCAGTGTATTTGTTGTGACAGTTCTACAGTTGTTCAGTTTTGCCTTTATATTTTAAGGATATTTTTGTTTGCTAGAAAATAATTTGATAGAAGTGTCCTATGGGAACTTTTTATTTAATAGGATAATATTCCAGAATATTTTATCACTAGGGTGTAACTGCACTTTGTGCTTTAGGATCATTGTGCTTTAAGATATTTGCAATATTACAATTTCCAAAATACTGGAATGTAACAATTTAACAATTTCACCTAAATTCTTAAGAAAAAGTAGATGGAACAATGCATAGTAATTTTGGAGAATATCACATGAAAGAATCCCTGAGTGATCTAGAAAATATTTTGTAGGTAGTGTTCTAGGCTTAGGTGTATGTTAAGAAACTACTTTTATTCAAAATGTTCCTCTGTTTTTAAAGCAAATTGTAGGTATACAGAAATAAAAACTCCTGATCTCCCAGAAGTTGAATCAAAAAAGTTGTATTTTTCACCATCGTGGGAACAAGATGATGTATTTACGGAGCTCAACATTCCACTAGGTTTGTCTGATTAGAAGTGATTCACATACAATGTTACTTTTTACAGTATCTTTATCTTACAGAACAATGTATCTTGAGTTTATTCAGAGACGTTTTCTACCTTAAGAACAATATTTAAAACTCCAGATTCAAAAAAATACTGTGGTTAGACAGAATCTGAAAAATCACAGCTGTCCAGATGTTCAATATGTAGTGTCATGTATCTGATTCTGAACAGACTTAGGTTTCATTAATCAAGATGAGTGATGTCAACAGCATGAATCAATTTCCTTTAATGAAACCAAGAGAAATCAGTTGATTTTTGCTAATTAAATTCAGGGAGGCAGCCTGCTGCAAGTGAGTGAATAAACAAAATATAAACAATTATTTTTGCTTAGATGTTAGGATGGATAAAAATGATAATGAAGATAATGATACATATATGGAAATTGTGATAATCAAGGAGAGGAAAGATGAGAACTTCAACTTTCTGCATATTATATATTTAAACTGAAATGTTAAAAACTGAATTGGAATCACCAATCATGGTAAAGTAAATAGGATTAAATGTATGGATGAATGGTACTGACTGGATTTTATTATTAGCTGCAGACATCATACTAGGAGCCCAAAACAAGAGCAAACTTTTAAGGAATCTCAACAAAAAAAACCAAAAGGAGAGAAAAATATTGAAAGAACTGAACGCTCACTTTAAAATGTTAAGTCACCATGTGTTTGATTGATTATTTAACTGCTGCCGTTTCCATCTGTTTCCCCAAGTCAGAGCTATAAAAGAGAAAGAATTCCAGAATGAAAGGAAATGGAAATTCTCACTTCTTTTTTCCCTTCCATTCTTTAGAAACAGAGGATATTATTTATTTATTTATTTTCAACTGTAAGTCTTCCTTCTAATATTTGGATTTAAAACCCTTTTTTCTCTAAAAGGAACAAAAATAGACAAGGAATGAAAATGAGTAATATGCTTTGTCCAGATCTTTTTTTAAGAAATGCAGGTCTGGCATGTGGAATCTTCTTCCTCTAATCTTATAAATTGATCAAATAAAAAATAACATCAAATATTTACATATTTCTATAGTTCTTTTATTGATGCAAATGGCTCAAATGTTCTATGTTGAATTTAAACATGTAATAATTGGAAGATGAAAATAATTAGATAGTATGTTTACTCACTGAATAATTAGACATGGAAACATGAAAAAAGTTACTATTAGGTTTTCTGTGAAATGGTATCGGCTATGCTATATAGATAGTCCTCGAACTGTGACCACAATTGAGCCCAAAATTTCTGTTGTTAAGTGAGTTTTGTCCCATTTTATGACATTTCTTGCTTCAGTTGTTAAGTGAATCACTATGATTGGTAAGTGAATCTGACAAGCAAAATCAATGGGGAAGCCAGACAGTCATAAAAGGGGATCCCATGACCTTGGGACACAGCAATGGTCATAAATATGAGTCAGTTGCCAATCATCTGAATTTTGATCACATGATCATGGGGTGCTGCAAAGATTGTAACTGTGAAAAACAGTCATAAGTCACATTTTTCAGTACTGTTGTAACTTTGAACGGTCACTAAATGAACTGTTGTAAGTTGAGGACTACCTGTAGTTCATTAGGATCCAATGGATAATAATGAACTAGAGAAAAGCTCCCTGCAAATGGGCTGTAGCACAACTCTGAAAGCTCGGAAGACGAAACCTCTGGTCTCGGTGATTGTCCAGACTGGATCTTACAATATTATCCTAGGACACATATTCATAACAATTCATTATTCAAATTGACAACATGCATTCAGCATTTTTTTCTCCTATGCATGTTTTTTAAATTTTTTCCTAATTATTATAATTCATTTTTTTTTATAGGTGTGGAATTTGTTGTTCCCAGAACTGGCTACTACTGCAAACTTTGTGGACTTTTCTACACAAATGAAGATGCAGCAAAAATTCATCATTGTAGAAGTACTGTTCACTATAAAAATCTGCAGGTAATAAAATAAAATTATTATTTTATTCAGATTATTAAATTATCCAAACTACTGATAGTATATGGAAGATCTTTAGCCTGAAAATGTATTCTACTGTGGTACATGCATCATCATTGTTCTTCATTGCAGCGTTGTGTCTCCCCGCCCAGTTCAGTTTTATCATAGTAGTGGTGGACTAGGACAGTGGTTCTCAACCTTTTTAATGCGCCGACCCCCAACCGGTCGTAAGTCGAGGACTACTCAACCGGTCGTAAGTCGAGGACTACTCAACGGGTGCAGCACCGTTTGCAGAATAAAAGGGAGTAGCACAGCTAAGGAAAAGGGAAAAAATGGCGGACTGCGTTGTTTGGCGACCCCCGTGAAATGGTTGTTCGACCCCAAATGGGGTCCCGACCCACAGGTTGAGAACCATTGGACTAGGAAGAGTATTTTAGAAAGCACATAGTAGAACAGAAAACTGCATGAACTTGGGTGTAAATTATATTACTTTAGTAACATACAATCTCTTTAGGTTTGTAGAGGTTAGGTAGTTAAATACCAAAGTCATTATCAAATCTCTTGAGGAAGAAAATGATAACTATGCTGAATCATTTACCAAATAAAATAAAAGTAGAAGCCCCAAAGAAATTCCCAGAGAAGGCAATATGACTGGTAGCCAGCAGATTAATACCACGAGGCACCAAATTGGTTGCAGCTTCTGAACCATAAAAAATACTGTTTGGTCTCAGGGCATGATCTGAATTGTCTGAATTGGTTAGGAGACAACATCAGACTGAACTGTCACTGTTTCATTTAGTAACAGACAGTGAAGTAAAACTGTCTGTCACTAAATGAAACAGTGTCAGTGAAGTAAAACTTAGATTTTCACAGTGAAGTACAACAGCTTTTTTATGTAATACTTTCTTGCAACAAGAAGCTTCGTATGATACTTAAAACCAATCATCCCATCAATTCCTCTCTATATATAATAGTTCTAGCAATAGAAGCAGCCGACTTTGCATTTTCTAATTCAGTTTCAGAAAACCAAACATTACTTTCACTTGAATTCATGGTTCACAACTGTAGCAGTAAAGTTCGTAGATTGCCTTCACTTTTTTTTCTTAAATGGGCATTAAAAAATACTAATAATAGGTTTTTATTACAATAAGCAGAGCTATGTATGCCTTCAAGTTCCAGGGGTCTTCACAATACTATGCTGTAGTTATTTCTCCCCTCTCTTATCTTGCAAACCAGAGTAACCACTCTGCTGTGCAAAGGAACAATAGATATCCTGCCTCTATTAAAGGTAGAATGGGAAGTTTACTCCTGTAATTTCACAACTTGAAGCAAAACAGTATCTTCAGACTGATTCTTCATCCCATTGATTTCAAGTGTTCTCACCTCTAATAGCTATTAGTTTACGTGACTGATGTGAAGGACATATACATGAATCTGGACAAACTATCACCAGTGCCTTCATTTATTAATGGAGAGTATCTGTTTCAGTTCAAGATGCTTCTCTTTGATCTTTCAACTCCAGCAAAAGAGTATTAAAATGCAACAGGGTTGTGTAAGTCCACTTAATACTTTCAAGTGAGATAAGTTTTTCATTACTTTAGTAATTACCTTCTGGCAGCTCCTTCAAAGGAAGTAGTTGCTAATGCCAGAGCTATATTAGATCTAGCCTGCTTGCACTTTTGTGTCAACCAATTTGTTCCCACTTCCTGAGATTTTTGGAACTTATGGTGGATTCTGCAGTATTTTTTTTCCAGCAGGCAAGATTACCTCACACTCTGTCTTGGCATTTTAGTCTACAGCAATAGTATCTGCTTGCATCCTCCAGAGTCTGCTGGGTTATGTGGCCACTTTAAACTTGCAGTAGATCACATTGAAGTTTTCCCAAGCGAATTAGCACCTCTTCACTTCAACCCTCTATTTATAACATCCACAAACACAAGGTAGTATTACGTCCTGATATCCAGTTTCTTCCTCAGGTTGTTCCTTTTTCTTCATTTTATGAAGAAAAAATACTAATTTACCAGGTTTTTTTCAAGTCATATACTGCTACTTACCCTCAGAGCTTTGAAGAATGTTGTCCTTCATCTACATGTCCATCATGTAATAAAATAAAATAAAACAAATTTAGGAAGGTATACAAAACAGGGACTTGAAAATACCAAGAATACTAGACAACTGTAACCTATCAGGACATCATTTCAGAGTTATTTCTTTTGCTACTAGTACACTCCCATGTGCTTTTCCTGACTCTTGCCCTGCCTCCTTCACATTCCTGCACACTCTCCCTGACTCATACCCTCATGCACATTCCCTAATCTATGCTCCATCCTCACAGACCCTTCCTGGCTCTTGTCACACCTCTTGGACATCCTCCCCAACCTACACCATCGGGCATCTTCCTGGACCTGTGCCATGCCTCTCATGCACTTCTGTTTACTCTCCTGAACCTTGCCATGTCTCTTGCTATCAACTCACTCACTCCCCCAACTGGCAGCACATCCACTTATTTGTCTACTGACCACGGACTAGCAATTTCCTGCCAGCTTCTCCACTGACTTGTGGGAAGTTGGCAGGGAATGTTGGAAATGACAATCAAGTGATTGTGGGAGTGCACATCACTGAAGCAGACACAATTTTTCCAAATTTCAATCCCACAGGTGTCATGGCTTCCAATTTTTGAGGCAATATTTAAGTTAGTTCATTTGAGATATGTTGATTCAAAGATTGTTGCCTTATGATGCACTATTTTGCGCGGCTGAATGTTACAAACAATTAGATACAAGAGTTTTAGTAATATATAGACATCATTATTCAGTGTTGTGTTTTTCTGTTTTGAATGACTTGCGTCCAGAAGTTGTGGGTGCTCCAACAGGGAGGATTTTAAGAAGAGATTGGACAAGCATTTGTGTGAAATGGTATAGGGTTTCCTGCCTCAGCAAGGGGTTGGACTAGAAGACCTTCAAGGTCCCTTCCAACTCTGTTATTCTGTTGTTCTGAACAAATTGTGTTTTGTATAAAAGAAGTTGTAAAATTTAAAAAAGTGAAGCTAGTAGAAAGAAGGCAAAAATGCTTTTTTTTTTGCACTTTCAAATGTACTTTTCCATGGCATATTGAAGCTCATATTATCATTTTCATATGTTATGAGAATGGTGGACATGCCATAGTTCTCAGTTAAATCTAAAATGAACTAATTAGAATACTGTTTCTTAAACTTTGCAAGTCCACCAAGCAATTTGGATCACAAACAGCCCCTTATAAGGAATACCTGTCTGTTTCAATCAATTGGTCAATGAAAGGAAGATCGAAATGAAACATGCTTTAATAATACACTTTTCCCCTTTAACCTCTCAACTTTAAAAATATAATGGGATGTATAAGAATGCAATCTGGAATATCATTTATGAATTTTAGAATCAGTCTGACAATGAGTCTGTTTCAATATTTGGTCTCCATTGTAGTGAGTGCTGAAAACCCTCTTTTACAATGCTAAAGAAAAAGATAGTAGGATTTCCGGTGCCTTCTCACTTAAAAACATACACTCTTTTTAAACAATGATTTTTCCCAGTTATTTCAGAATGTTTGATGCGGGCCTCAAAAATGTTCTTGACAAGATAAAAGCAATAAGGCACACATAGGTTAGGAAGCACAAAGCTAAATGCTAAAATACTTCAGTTCTCTAGTTGCAAATCTGAAGAATTTTTACATATTGTATCATTAGAGATCAAAAGAAGATTGTCACCCCACCTTGGCTTCTCTTTAGAGCAAGAAGTGAGATGATGTACACAGCATGGTGTAATAAGCCATGCATAAGCTTAAATGAAAAAGGAGATGGGAACAGGTGAAAAGCTTGCCTTTAAGATTCTTGGTGTTCCTTTAGCATAGCCACTAAATCTAAGACCAAAGCAGTTTTACATAGCTGGTTAAATGTGGCATGTGCTTATTAAGATCTGGACATATTAATGGTTTTAGTAAACCTAAGCAACAGATGAATCTGTTTTTAAGAGTGTGAAGTAAATGGCATTGCTTTGGCCGGGCTTCTTTACAAGAAGGACTAAGAGTATCAGTTTCTTGTAGGTGTGTTGTACATGTATGCACATCTACTGAATTTAACTTCTCACTAAGTACACAGCTGTTCCAAAGGCTCTACTTTACACCAGTAGTATTGCCTTGCCATTTGCCCCTCACCCAGATCTTGCTTTAAAGAGTCTTCAAAACCTGGCTCTGCTCCCAGGCCTTAGACTAGGATGAGCTGCAAGTCCCTTGGGTGTTATATGGCCCTGTTTAGAGGCTGACATATGCATTCAACAAACAAATAAATAAATAAGGAAGCAAGCACCAGGACTGAGTAGTTCCTGAAGGGTGAAGAGGGATCATACTAAAAAATAAGAGAGATGACACTACGTAAAGGCCCATTCATGGCTGTTGCTTTTCTTTTGATCAGCAATTTTATATAAGTGAGTTGAGAACTTTCCCAAAAAATCAGATGAAACACTTTCTGTTCACTATAGATTTGGAGCTGTTTTCAGCACAGGTTACAGGTAGTCCTCAATTTATAACAATTGGGACTGCAAAATTTGTCATTAGGGGTACAGTTGTTAAGTGAGGCATCATGTGACTGCACCCAATTTTTACAATCTTTTTTGCCATAGTTGTTAAGTGAAACATCACATGACTGTCATTTGCCCTCTTCCCAGCAGGTTTCCCTATTGACTTTGCTTGTTGGAGGCCAGGGAAAGTTTCCAATAGTGATTAGGTGACTGCAGGACATTGCAACTATCATAAGTACAAGCTGTTTGCCAAAGGTTTAGATCATGATCATGCAACCATGGTGTCACTGAGATAGTCGTAAGGCTGAGGATCAGTTGTAAGTCACTTTTTTCAGTGCTATTGTAACTTCAAATAATTACTAATGAATGGTTGTAAGTTGAGAATTACTTGTATAGACATTACTTGTCCTCCCTTCCTATTAATTTTCTTTAAATATTGTAAATTTATTATTTTGATTAAGTCTTGCTTATATTTTTCTTTCATATTTTGCATTGTGAGTAGAGAAAAATCCTAGGTATATATAAAAGTGAAACTAAATCTGCACTTAATATATAATTTTAAAGCATTCCTAAGTACTCTTTCAACAATACTGATTCAAAAGAGGTTTAAGAATTACATGAAACAACCACCAACTTTTTAGTAGATAGATTCAAATCATTCTTCTCCAGGGAATATTTTACATTATTTAGCCTAAGAGAAGTTCATTACAGGTCGACCTCGAGATACAACTGGCTGTTGTATACAACTTAATAGCTTTCTGAAGTTATGACAGACCTCCCCTCAAAGTTACATATAACCTTTTTTTCAAACTAATGGCAGCTGCAGCACTCCATCGTCATTCGCCCTTACACTGACCACAGGGACACTGCAGTGCCCCTTGCTGCTCTCCCCAACATCCTGCTCTAATGGGACCCTCCAGTGCTTGAGTCTCCTCCCCATGCCTCCTGGAAACAGCCACCGTTTTCAGCACTGGCACACACAATTCCTGGCAGAAATGGTGGCAGCTGCTTTCAGAGCTTTCTGCTCTGATCAGCTGGCCATTGTGAGACTGCAAACTCTCCTAAGCTTTGGGGAAGCCAGCCGCCTACATGCAAAGGTGACAATTTCAGGATGAGCTTCCCCAAAACTTTCCCTTGCTTTGATCCCATCTCTCCTGCAAAAAGCTACATTTCTTCAATAAAGAAAATACAAAAAGCTGTGAAGGACAGAATTGTTGATCTTTCTCCTCCTCCCCATTAAGGTGCTGAAACTAAACTCTCTGGCCTCTGCCCTCCAAGCTCAATCCCTTTTAACCATTTAATTTGCTAAATTTGCTGGATGCCAGGAAAAAGGGCGACAAAATCTATGTATTATTTACCTCGGTCAGTCACTGCCAGACTGAACAGTAGAGGAAAGGAAGGAAGCAAACAAATAAAACCTTTCTATAGCTTGTTTGCCTTGAAGAGCTCAAGAAAAAGTTCAGCTCTAAAGAAAAAGCGGTTAAAGCACAAATGTGCACCAAACAGCTATGGCAGAAGCTGGATCCTCAAGGAAATTAGACAGGTAGTAAAAAACTTTCCAAAGTTTTCCATGCTGGATGGCAGGCCTCCCCGAGCCTACCCCATCCATGAGATATCCCATGTTTGTTTAATGATCCATTCATTCATTTAATGGTGGCATCAAGGAGATTGGGTGTGTGTATGTGTTAAAGAAGGCTGTCACACATGATTGCCACTACTTGCAACCGTAATGAGCAGGCTCTATTACAGTCATTATGTCAAGGACTACCTGTGATCCTACTATTAAGCAATTTTAGCGCAAATTGTAACTTTTTCATCATTGCAAAGCACATTATCAAAATTATATTGCACAAGGATTTCTTAGTAACTCATGCTAGTAATTGGAAGCATTTTGAATTTTTGCTTTGAGTTTGGAAAAAAAGTGCTAAGTTGTGTTAAACATATCCGCACATGCTCACCATAACATCACTAGTTAAAGAGTAAACCGAGCAAGACTGGCAAAGAAGAGAAGCTGAGGTGAGTTGATATATGTATAGTCATGCTGTCACTGGGACTAATTATTAGGTTTGTACTTCTTTTTTGATCCCCTGGCATTATAAACGCTTATATGGAAATACATCATGTATTTAAGGCAATTTAAATGTTAATTATTGTAAAAGCAGTTTCTTTGTCCCACATAGAAATACCTATCACAGCTTGCAGAAGAGAATCTGAAGATGAATGAAAAAGAAAACAGCTCAGCCCAAGATGATACTGGAATTGTCCCTCACTTCGAGGAGAAAAGGCTATGATTTTTTTTTTATCAGGTTTGTAACTTGCTGATTTGTTTGCTGTTCTCAATGATGCACCTTTAGTTTGCACTTTAGCGAAGAAAGGAAATCATTATTAGCTTTTTCTGGCAGCGACACTGAGAGCACCATTAAAAATATAATCCCTGCAATATAATAAAGCACAAGTGACCTATCTATAAGTAGTAGCATCCATTTTTCCATAATGGATACTGTTCTTTCTAAATCAGAATTCTCAGGGATTTTTCTCCATGTTACTTGTGTTACAACCTCAGCTGGTCCATGAATGAGGATTATTTGGAAAAAGAAACGATCTGAATGAAAACTTTGCATTAGTACTTTTGTTCAATGACCATGCTCAGTAATATGCTACAGCTTACATTACATAGCGGATGGTCCTTGACCTACAACCATTTGTTTGTGACTGTTCAAAGTCACTGAATGGCACTGAAAAAAGTGACTTGACTGGTCTTCAGACTTACGACCATCATAGCATCACATGGTTATGTAACAAACTTCAAGTACTTGGCAACTGGCATGTATTTATGACAGTTGTAGCATCCTTGATCATGTGTTCACCATTTGTGACCTTTCTAGCCAGCTTCCAACAAACAGTCAGTGGGGAAGCTAGATTCACTTAATGACCACATGATTCACTTAACTGCAGTGATTTGATTAACAGCTGTGACCAAAAAGATTGTAAAATTGGGCATGAATCACTTAATAACTACCTTGCTTAACAATGGCAATTCTGGTCCAAACTGTAGTTGTAAGTCAAGGACTTTATGTACAGTAAGATATTATGTTATTGCTGATAATACTGTTTCTTTTGGGACAGCACTGTCCTTGTCTGGTATAAGGTAGTTCGTGATATATATTTTCAAAGAGAGTTTTCATTTGTACTGAAATGGACAGAATTAGAGAAATCCTTTTATTTTCAATTCGTGAACATATGTAGCACTCTAAATTTTTCTAAGGAAAAGTCTAGCATACTATGACTCATGTTTTCCCTGCTAGTCTTATTTTCTATTTTCTTCCATGTTTCTTAAAGCTAATTTCTTTTAAAGCCATTGTTTGCTAAATCCTAATATATTTGCACAGGAATACAATAATACTTCTAGATGAGAAGCTGTTCAAAAGCCTATCTATGCTGCTGTAAGGGCCATGATGGGACTGGCACATACAAAACACACATTTTTAATTACTTCAGTAAATCAATCATATTTTAACAAATCAAGTGTTCTGATATGAATCAACTAAATATTACAGCCTCATTAGAACTGTCTTAAAATTTAATATTCATAAATTTTACATTAATTATATAACTGCCCAACACATTGTTTGTGTGTGAAAACTTCATACAGATTTCACCACATAAAGCATGTATTTATTTGCTTAAGTGGATACAATAACTGCTGGTAACTGCCATCATAAAAAGATACTATAAAATACACTAGATAACAGTTCCTGAACCATGCTGAAAGAGCAAGTATAATTGTTCTAGAGCCTTGTTTAGATAGTTTAAAAAATACAGAAAATATGTAATGGAGTTATTCCACCATTTGCTACTTTTAAAATTGTCTAATTATCCCATGAAATCTTATTTTTTTATTATAATTTAAAAAATCTGTAGTTTCAAGATCTCCCAGTCAAAATCTGATTTTATTATCTGTTTCATTATCATTTTTTTCTTAGTTGCAAGGCAGAGGAACCAATATTTTCATTTCTTTTATTTTTAATAAGTCTGTGCCATTAAAGAATTAATTAAATATCCACATTCCTGTCTCAACTTTAATATAATAACAGACACAACACATTTCAGAATCATAAACTAACGACACTTGAGATCCTAGCCTTTGGCTTGACATTGTAAAATAAAAGCATGCATATTCTTAAAGCACATGCCACATTTCTTCTATTTCAGTAATACTGGTTAGTTAAAACATTTTATCCAAAGTTTAAAACTATCTAAGGCAGCTGACAAAATATTAAAATAAGGAATAATAACAAGGAGAACTAATATATCTCTATTTCTGGTATTACAGAAAAGGCACAGTTGGTCTGTAGGGGGAACATAACTATATTTATGTTGTTTTAACGTAAATCTTAGAGAAAACAATCTCACAGACAGGGAAGAATGCATAGTCCAGCACAAGGTAAAAAGATGAGGGAATGCTTATGCAACCAAAATGGCAATCTTGCTTTGGAATTGTTACACTAGAAACCTGAAATTTAAAAAGACTTGCTTTCCCCCCTGCTTTATTCTGTACAATTGTATTTATGAGAGAGAGGGAGGGGGACGGGGACGGGGGGAGGCACGCACAGGGTAGCTTGAAGAGAATCCAAAGACTTTATTATAAGTATGTAAAAAGTTTCCTAATTTATAAACAATTGCAAAATATTTGAAATATTTTAAAATCTTTAGGTCTTGCAACACCTTGTCTCAGCCTATTACTTTTTATGGTTTCATATCACATACCTTTCATTTTAAAGCTAAGGAATCTAAGCCCTGAGGCATAAAACTTGACAATTTTTTTACTGACTGCAACTCATATTTAGCATTAGGCTTTCAGGGTTTCTATGTCAAGTCTGGTGTATTGAAAGATACTTGAACTGGACCAGATGTTATTATTTATTAATCATATAGTCTTGTTTAATTACTGGCTTGTAAACATTTGAGATGTGTCAGAGGTTTAACCAGGAAGCAGCACACATTTTTATTGTCTATGTATCTTGATCTATTGATGCAATTGATTTCAAATTGCATTTGTAAAAATAAATGAATGATTGTAATAAAGATAATTTTTAATGACTGGTGAGCTTTGGTATCCACAACAACCTTCTTCTGGTCTCCTGTTCATGTGCAGCCTTTATTAAGCTTTCAATAACTCTGACAAATGCTTGGATTGGCTGTGTCCAGACTACATGCGCAAAAGAACTCTGGACTGGCGTTTAAACTTCAACATGAAATCATAATCAACTATAATTAAATGCTAGCTTTTGTGTGTCAGCTGGAGTGATGATAGTTGTGATTTATGTAGAAATGGTCTGATGTGGTATAATTTTTCTCTTGATTTTAGACTGGAGGTAGGCATCTGGATGATTTCATGTTCTGTTTCAACCTTCCTGTATTTACACCAATTCTAAATAAGGAAAAACAATTTACTGGCAGAATGTTTTACTAATAGCTGGTGCTTTTTTTCTTAAAAAAAAAAAGTGCGGGAACTCTCATCTTGTTAATATTTTATTTATATAATTTTATTTATATATTTATTTATATAATTAAACGTATATATTAAATTCTTAACATAAATTATATTTTAATGACAGAAAGAAAATGGATTGAAAAAAGTAGATGCAAAAGTAACATTAGATAAACAGCACTGGAGCTGTCACCAAAAGCACCCTAAAAATTACTTGTAGGAGGAGGAAAACCAAATCTCAGTAATATTGTTAATTGTTTTTGTAGAAAGCTTGAATCACGCTGTTGTTACTTCCAAATAAATTCACCATTTAAATTATGTTCTTGTCCCAAAGGTTAAAGGCTTAGTTTAAAGCATTACTAGAAGACAATTCCATTTTTCTGTTTTAAATTTAGCATTTCTGAAGGGTCCTTGGTGCTCTCTGAGCTTGTTTGTTTTCTTGCAGACCTTTCATTACCCAAACTAGGTAACATCATCAGCATATCTGTTGTGAATGGTCTGCCCCCTACTGATTAGTTCATTTATTACAGGAACAGTATACACATTTTAATTTTTCTTTGAACATATATAAAAAAATATCAGTAATGTATTGTTTTACACAGCCCAGTAATTAAATTACCATTTTAAATAATTCAGTCAGTGCCAATTTATAATAAATGGCTATGTATTCAGTAAAGGATTACTGATTTAGAGACTGATGCTCATTATATGCAGGTATGCGTTAAATTGTGTACAGTCAAACATTTAATATTTCTGTATTCTGGGTTTTAGATTTGTGGAAATCGTTTGTTCCCCTTTTGCATCTTTTTTAAAGATAAACATTTTGAAATTATTGTGCATATTGTAAGCATTTCAAACTTTTGTATAGTTTTAAATTTTAACACCACATTGCTACCCAAACCACCTTTATATTAAACCAGTTGTACTGTTACATATAGTTAATGTGGATATTCTTAAGTCATACCTTTTATCATTTCCCTCTTTTATCACATTAAAAAACACACTTTGTCCAAAATATTTGGGGACTTCTGTAATTGCCCCAAAAGCTTTTGTGGGCTGTATATGGCCTTGGGCTCCAGATTTTTACATCTGCTCTAGAATCTCTGCCTAACAGCGTATATGTGAGTTCTGGTAGTATCTTTATTTATTCAGCGGCTATTTTTTCTGCTCACAAAAAGTCTCTCTCTCTCTCCAACAAAGTTACTAACTTATCAACTGCAGTGATTTACTTAACAACTGAGGCAAGAAAGGTCATAAATTGGGCAAAAAACTCATTTAACAAAGCCTCAACAACATAAATGTTGGGCTCAATTGTGGTTGTGATAAAGGAATACAGGACTGCCTGTATTCCTTTCAGAGCAAGCAGCATTTTTAACAACACATAAAAAGAATAACATATATGAAGCCAGAAAAATAAAACACATCAATAAGAAAAAAGAATATTGCTACACCAAAACCACTCCCTCTACTTTTCCATACCCTTCTTTCTTTGTGAAGCATCCTTGTTTCTACCACATCCAGGAAGTAATTTATTCCCTTTCTCATTTTTTTCCTTTTCCTTTTTTGAGACTCTTTGTTAACTCCATCTAACTTTTTGTCAGTCTTCCTCTTCCTTTTAAAGCCATGCACTCTTTTTTATATATTTAGTGTGTGATTTATATTCATTCATTATATAACCAAACCATCTCACATATTTTTCATGCTGGTCATTCAATTTTGTATTCAATACACATTCATTCAGTAACCAGTCATTCTTCACCCCATTTTTCTTCTTTTATTACATTCTTATACTGTATATCCCAGTCCAAGATTTAGTTTACTTGTAAATTTTTCCTTACATATCCAACTCTCATTTTCAGAATAGAAGGAAGCACATATACACAGCCATTTTTTGCTTCTTTAACAAACATTAATTCTTCACAATAAATCACATATTACTAGTATATCCCCAAATAGCTCTAAGGACAGCCCATGTGTTTCTTATACGTTTATCCATAGACAACCAAAGAGATGTTGCCTTATTCTCTAAGCCAGCATTTCTTAACCTTAGCAACTTAAGATGTCAGATCCTCAACTCCCAGAATTTCCCTACCAGCAAGCTGATACTCCATTTATTCTTACACACGCTTTACTATTATCACAGACTGCTATTACTGTATTTAGCAGTCAACCTTGCATTTCCTATTTGTGCAAAAGGTTCCATAATTCAGGCCGATTCGCTTTTTCCCTTTTTCTGAATCTGTAGTCATATAGTCACCTTTCTTTCTTATATCCATGCACTTCTCAAATGTTCAGAGACAAAAATCTGCTCTGCTCTGAAGCCTCTGCTTCAGGTTGGGGAAAAGAAATTGACATGATTTCAGCTATAGTTGGCAACACTACATTGAGAAGAGATGGAAATGGTCCACTGCACATAATTATTGGGCATATTTCTAATTTTATCTAGTCCTTTGGGGGGGAAATTGTTTTAAATGGATCTGATTTTCAGGAAAATGTGAGGATCTCCATAATCCCTGCTGGGCATTCTAACTGTTGCTTATTTTCATCTCTTGCACCCTTACTGTCATAACTCAGCCAAACACAGTTAACAAAGCATTCTCTTTACATTTTGCATTCACATTTGCTCTCTTTCTCTTTGTATAGAACAGGGGTATCAAACTGCTGGCCCGTGGGCTGGATGCGTCAGGCCGAAACCACGCCCACCCTATTGCCAGCAATGGAAAAAAAGTCGTGATACATTGTGACACGTCATGTGATGTTGCGAATTTGACACCCCTGGTATAGAAGAACAATAATGACATTTTTCCATTAGTCAATCTTTGATGCAATCTTCACACATAAGTTACACATCTACATTTCTTTAGTGTTTTCATTAAGTTATGCTTTTCTTATTTATTTCATTATTATCATCACCAGCAAATAGGACCATAGATAATGCTTTAACTACCCATCATGGCTTTGTTAATCCAGACTTTAGCCTAGATTACCCATGCCACATACATGAGTGCAATACTTGTCAACTCTGATACATTTTGATCTTGTGGCTATTATACCACAAGCACAAAGTTCAGTTTTACCCCAAACATGTTCACATATCACCAGAAACTAGTTTAGACCTCATCCTACCAGCTTTGTAGGAGAAGCAATGGCAGAATCTGGGGACAGGGTTAAAAGAGGGATTATCCTAGAATCCCTATATAGCCACAAGCAAACTAAGTCCAACCCCTCCCCTTTGAATTCCATTGACCCTTATCTAACTCCAAGCAGGTCTGTTAATTGATAAGATTCCTATACAAAGGCATAAGTAGTAATAAATCTGTTTAAACAAGATCTTCACATGTGGACCTGATCTTTCATGCTTGACAAATTTAGAGGTAAGTCACGAATGTGTGCATACACACAAAAATTATTTATATACTTATTAATAGAAAAAATTGGGGCTGGTATCCTTAGGTTTAGCTGGTAATAAACAGTGCATTGCACAGGGTGTATTTGTAATTTCTTTCTGCCTTTTAGGGGAAGATAGTTTAAAATTTAAGAATATCTGTTTTCAGGAAAATATAGCAAAATACACAACGAAAAGAAGGGAAAAAAGGATTGGGAAGAAGTAAATGAGCAAATTTAGTGTGGAGCCACTCATGCTGCTGCATAAAGAAGCTACATAAAATAGAGAGACAGTTTGGTCTAATGGTTAAGGCACCGGGCTAGAAACCAGGAAATGGTGAATTTTGGTCTCAACTCAAATTGCCTCATACGGTTGTTGTTGTGGGGACAATAGGAAGAGAAAGGAATATTTGGTATATTCACTATGTTGAGTTATTTGTATATTAAAAAATGATAATAATTTTAAAATCTATAAAATACACAATTCATACCTCTGTGCCAGAGTGAGAATGAAGTTTTAAAATACATATTCTGAAAAAATATACAGTATTAATGAGCTGATCATGAAGAGCCCATTTCCTCTAAATTCTAAACTTACCTGACTTGCTGGATGAGCCCAAGAGATTTTACTGCCTGAGGCAGAGAACAGAATGCTCTCCTGCTCTGTTTTACTTTGGCTGCATTACACACCCATAGTTAACAATCATGTTGACTTAATTAATCCAATTTTCTTGGTTCACATAACTTCTTCACACGATTCATACATATTGATTCTGTTGTACAGGTTGGAATATTCCAGAGTTTTAAACGTTTGGTGGGAAAACTGTACGGACAGTAGCATTTCCTACGTAACAACAGCCTCAGGAAACCACCTCAGTTCTTTTCTAATTGCCACAGCAATAATATTTAATATTTCAGAATTATTCCATCCAACTTTATTGGTTTTTTGGCCTCCCAGCCCCCTTAGAAAGTGTTAATGTATCAGATTAACTACAATAAGCTTTTATTTAATTTAGGACGGTGTTCAAAACTTTCAGTAGGCTTAGTATTAGTTAGCTATCTTTTTAAAAAACAATTGGCAAAACCCTATGGTGGGCCAATCTGTGACTGAGCCACTGCAAACAGGATAGTTTTTTCCCCACCCTTTTTGCCCCTGTACATTCTAATAGAGAGTGAAAAGGAAAACCACTTTCAAAAGGAGGTGCAATTGTAGTAGATTGATTCTTTAGTGTACTCTTAAGTTCTTTATTTTCAAGGAACAAGAAAGGATAGACTTCAGGTTTGGACAGCATGAGAATTTCTGGGTATGGTTTGTTAATTTATTATTACGTTGGGTACTCTTTGTTTACTCAGTTATCATGACTCAGAAATTACTGAGTTACAAGGTTCACATATCATGCTGATCTTAACAAACTGGTTAAACATATTAAGTGAATACAGGAATTTACAAAAAGTAATGTCTAGATAGAAAAGTCTTTGATCTAAACTTTAGAAAGAAGTGAAATTAAAAGTCTGACTATATAGGTGAACCTTTTAGAGACTGAGTGCCCAAACTGCAACCCAAAACCCACTTATGCATCGTCAAGTGCTGGGTGGGTGTGGCCCATTGGTTGGGTGTGGCCAATTGGGTGGGCATGGCCCATTGGCTGGGCGTGGCTGCGGTGGTAACGGCAGACTGGGTGAGAAAGTTCAATCAATCAATTCCAACTTTGTAAGATTTTTTTTCCTGCGAAAAGTTGAAATTGGCTGATTGAACCTCTTTTTTTTTGCACATGACGGCAGAGGCCTAAAGCGAAAAGGTTTTATAAAACTCAGCTGAAGGCCTAGGACTGGGTCGACGGCGGGCGTGCCCACAGAGAAGGCTCTGAGTGCTACCTCTGGCACCCGTGCCATAGGTTCGCCACCACTGATATAGGTAGTCCTCCACGACCATATCTGAGCCCAAAATTCCTGTTGCTAAGCGAGACATTTGTTAATTGAGTTTTGCCTCATTTTACAACCTTTCTTCCCACAGTTAAGTGAATCATTGCAGTTGTTAAATTAGTTACACAGTTGTTAAGTGAAATTGGCTTCCCCATTTACTTTGCTTCTCAGAAGGCCACAAAAAGTGATCACATGACTCTGGGACACTGCAACCCTCTTAAATATGAATCAGTTGCCAAGCATCTAATTTTTGATCGTGTGACCATGTGGATGCTGCAACAGTCATAAGTATGCAAAACAGTCATAAGTCACTGTTGCCATTGCAACTTCGAACAGTTACTAAACAAACTATTGCAAGTTGAGGGTTATCTGTATTAAATCCTGTAGCTTATGTGTAGTTAAGTGAATTATAGTGTACTCAATCTAGTTTTCTATAGCTGCTTAACCACTGAACAATAAACCAGTCTGACTGAATTTCAGTGGCATGCTATGTTAAAATGAGATGGCTAATGTTAGTTTTATACCCTACCTTTCCTTCAAGAGCTCAAGGCAGCATCCATAGTACACTTTGCTCCTACTGTGAAGTAGGTTGGGTTGAGAGTGACCAACTGGCCCGAAGTCACCAAGTGAGCTTTATAGGACTCAGAGTTTCCCAGGGCCAATATCTTCAATACTACACCACAATGGTTCTCACTTGATTCAATATATTATGTAAATACTCTTGATGTGAAAGTCATTAACATTTCTCATAACAAAAGCAGAATTTGCTTCCCAAAAAAAGCTTCCTCTTTTAGGATAAAGTAACGTGAACCTCAAATCATAATCAGAATTTTGGAACTATTGAAATGCAACATTGGACATACGTATAGCAATCTTCAGCAGTATGTGTGTCTATGTGTATAAATACTATTGATACTTTTTATGTGATGGTAAGCATTTAGCATTATTCTGAGAATGAGAAGCCAAGATATTACAAAGGCTGTCTAATATGGTCTTCTTTCCCTGAGAAGTTAATTTGTTTAGGGACTTATAAGTTAAAAATTATTACATTTTTATGAGGTCTTTCAATTCACTTGGTTGAACATCTGTCATTTTGCTTCTCTATAGATAAGAGACAATGGTGTCATTATGAGATGAGAAATTAGTAAAGCCAATGTTTAAGCACTGGATAGCTAAAGTGATCGTAGTCAAATGCAAAATGTGCATTTGCTTTCTGAACTCTTTAAAATAACATACAATGAGTAATGGTGATTATTATAAATTCAATTTTTTTTTACAATCAGAGATTAGCAATAGATATCACCAGATAAACAGTTAAAAGAAAAGGGAAATATAAAAGATTGTCAGGATATCTTTGATGTTAGTGTTGACTTGTTTTACCTGCTGCAACAATATAATTGGCTACTCTCTGGATGTGGTTAATACTTATTCCAACATCTAATTACCAACTAGTTCAATATTTAGAAAATACCCTTTTCTTTTCTTTCTTTTTCTTGTTCCTGTCCTGAACTTGGTAATATGAAATTATTGTTTGAAGTTTGCAGTTATAAATAACATTCCTTGCCCGGGTCAAAGGTGATATTGATAATTAATCAGGTGATGTTCATTTGGCACAGACATGAGATCACATGCAACTTCTTTCAATGGCATTAAATCTTTTCCAAACAGAGGGATCGGGTTTCCTTTTAAGTTTAACTCTTCATTTGTAATTTGCAAGATGGACCAGGACATATAACAAAGACTGTTCTGTGCAATAACATGGAAAAAATTGTCTTACATCCTGGTACATGATGTTACCTGAATATCTAATACTTCTTGTAGCCTGATAATTTTGGCAGCCCAGCAAAAGACAAACATGATGGACAAAATTATTGCAAATGGGACGAACATGACTAAGTTCTTTATAGACAAAGGATGTCTGAAGCAGAGATGCTGGTTTATGCAGAGATGCTGGCTTATGCAAATCTTAAAATTAGTCCAGCTATACTAAATTCAGTTACAACCTTCATCAGTTACGTCTTGCAGAAAAGCCCTGTGAAATTCAAATTTATTTTGGCATAAGAAAGTTTTATAATGTAAAGCTCAAAGGTTTTATTACTGCTTTAACAAGTTTAAAATGTGTGCCATTGTTGTTATATTTAATTGACTAACCAAGAAGTCTTAGAAGATGAAGAAATGGAAGATTATAGCAAATAGTTTTTTTTCCTACCAACATTCTCAATGCATCTACATTTTTGGGATTTTCATGGCACGTTATATGGACTTTATAGAAGTCCAGCTGGTTCCTCATGCAATACTGAGGACAAAATAGTTTAAGGCCACACTGAATACGTTCTATCCATCTGCCAATATTCACATACATGTGTTCTATGCAAATATTTTATTAACAATCCCAGTCATGATAAGCCTATATTTGATTAAGAAATACATGATAAACTAGTTACGCTTTACTGTATGTCAAATGGTGTGCCTGGATGTGGAACTGTTGTGAGGATTGAACTCACACTTAAAGTGATGCAGCACATGGACTGAACAATTTGGTTGCTTTCCAAATAGATACCTTACAGATGAGTGGTATCACAATTCCATCCTTACTTAGACAATATATTGTTAGAGCTGAAGGTTTTAGGTTGGAAAAGGTTAGAATAGAATTCCAATACTTAGTTAGATCCACATACAGTACATTTTTGGATTTTTTTTCCAGATAATACACTGAACTATCATACTGCAAACATAAGTAACACACTACACAGCCATAAATGAACATAGTTTAATTATAACTCCTCCCATATTATAACAACATAAACCATAAATGGGGCAGAGAAAATAAAAAGGTATTTGAGTCAGTGCATATCTCACTGATGGCTGACACTGGCTAGTCTCAAAAGCTAAGCAGGGTTGGTTATGGTTGGCATTTAGAGGAATCTTTTGAGAATAACAAGGCTCTAAACTGGATTGCTAAACTGAAAATATATCCTGAAAGAAGGTAATGGAACACTATTTTTGTTGCATTCTAGAAAACTAGCTGAAATCAGCAAGAGCTGAGATCAATGCAAGGGATTATTTATCTCATTGATGATTACATGCCATCAAGTTGTTTTCAACTCCTATGACCACACAGATTCTCTGCATGAAGATCTGTCCCTAACCTGTTCGTTTAGGCTTCCAATGGTGCACTCATTGCCACTTAACTGAGTTCATCCATCTTGCCACTGCCTCTTTTTTTCTTTCCTTTTATCTTTCCCAACATTAAATCCTTTGCAGAAAGCTAGATCTTTGTATAATGTATGTCCAAAATAGGATAATTTGAAACTCTCACATTGAGTGAGAGTTTTGGGTTGATTTATTCAATGATCCACTGGTTTGTTTTCTTGGCTGTCCAAGGTATTCTCAGGAGTTTTCTTCAACACCAAAGTTTAAAGGCATAAATACTCTTCCTATCCTGTTTCAAGTCCAACTATCTCTGAGGTCCATAGAGTCAAAGGTAATACCAGGCTTGCAGATCCTTTGCATTTTCAGTATCAGGATAGTATCTTCATCATAGCACAGGTTATTGAAGTAATTACAATTAATCCTCCTATTTTAAAACAATACTGATATTCTTCCAATACTTTCCCTTCATATTTATAAATGAGCCATGGTGGTGCAATGGTTAGAATGCAATATTGCAAGCTACCTTTGCTGACAGGTGTGAGCTTAAATGGACTCCAGAAGATGGTAGAGGACAGGAAGACCTGGAGGAACATTGTCCATGGTGTCACGATGGGTCGGACACAACTTCGCAACTAACATCAACAAATACAACCTTTGCTGACTGCCAG